GGGACTGTATTAGGATGCTAGGGCTGCGGAAAAAATGTACCACAAACCAGGGGTCTTCAAAAACAGAAGCATGTTTGCTCACTGTCCGGGGAGCCAGAAGTCTGAGATTAAGGTGTGGGTTGAATTGGTTCCTTCAAAATGGAGGGAGAATCTGGTTCAGGTCTCTCCCAGCTTCTGGTGGTTTGTTGGAAGTCCCTGGGCTTGTCGATACATCCCCCAGATTTCTGCCTTCATAATCACATGGCCTTCTCCCTGAGTGTGTGTCTCTGTGCCCAAATTTCCTCCTTTTGTAAGGACACTAGTCCTATGGCACTGGGGCTAACCCTCCTCCAGGATGACCTCACCTTAACTCATTACATATGCAATGGCTCATTTTCCAAGTAAGGTCCCATTCTGAGGTCCTGAGGGGTTAGGACAGCAACATATGAATTTTGGGGAGGGGGGATCCAATTAAACCCTAACAGGAACTGAACTAACTGAACATCGAGGCTGTGTTTACCCAGAAACGGGTAAACATCACACATTTCTCCCCATTAGAAAAGAGAAACTAAGGGGTCAAGAGAACAGGCAAGCATTTCAGCACCGGGGACAGTGGCATGCAATTTGGTCTTTCTGTCCCTCTGGCTGAAAACCTTCCGGACCCAGAGGCTGATGGCCTAGAAAGTCGCTCAGGGGTCCTAGCCTAGCCTCCCAGGACCAGCACACTCCATGTTCTGCAAATGAGGCCTCACGGGCAGGAATGCGCCCAAGGGGGAAGGGTTTTGCTTCTATTTCACATCTTCTTGCAGTGCAATTTCTTGCTGGTTGTGCCTAATTTCTCTCAGGCCCTAGGCTAGTTGTCTTAGTGCCTCTCCTTTCCCTGAAGACCTTGGGGGATTAAATTCAGAAAATAGAAACACCAAAAAAAGAGTAGAAAGACCAGCCATGGGTTGGGGGAAGATGTGTGCATCAGATGTAACCACAAAAGAATCCAAAGTATTCTTTATTTACACAGCACATAAAGAACTCCTACAAAGCAACACGGTGCCTGGCTTTATTAATAACTATAGCAATGTATGTTACAATCTCAATGAAATGCAGTGATACGCCTACCATAATGACTACATTTAAAAGGCTGGTAAAACCAAGGGTTGGTGAAAATGAAGCATTAATATTGTCAGACCCGTTGGTTGGAGAATTCTTTGGTACAACCCATTTTGGAAAACTGAAGGAATCCGTTAAAGCTAAACATAAACCAACCTTATAACCTGCAATCCCATTCCTGGATATGCCTTTGTGCATCAAAGCACCTATATAAGAATGTTCCATGGCAGCGTTATTCATGATCGTCTCTAACAGTGGACAACCCAGATGCCCACTCACAAGAGAATGGATAGCCACCTTGCAGTATATTCACAGGAGAAAATATTACACAACTATGAAAAGGAATTAACTCCTGATACTCACAACCATCTGTTGTTGAGTAACAGAATCTAGACACAAAGTATACATATGCTATGATTCCGTTTATATAAGTTCAAAAGCAGGAAGTACTCAGCTACATTGATTAGTGACACACACGGGGCGGGAAGCCATAATGAAAAACAATGACGTGGTTATCACAAAAGCCAGGATAGCAGTCACCTCCGGCGGATGGAGGGCTTGTCATGGGATGGGAGGCACTGGGGTTTCCGGTGACTGCCATGTTCTATTCCCTGACCTGGGAAATGGTTACATGATTTTATAATTATTTGCTACATTGTATACTTTCATGTTCTGCACTTTTCTTGGGGGGGTATGTTTTTTTTAACTTTTTTAATTTTTTATTTTTTTAAAGGTTTATTTATTTATTTGAGAGAGAGAGAGTGAGCATGAGAGGGGGGAGGGGCAGAGGGAGAAGCAGACTCCCCGCCGAGCAGGGAGTCCGATGTGGGACTCGATCCCGGGACTCCAGGATCATGACCTGAGCCGAAGGCAGTCGCTTAACCAACTGAGCCACCCAGGCGCCCCGGGGGGGTATGTTTTTAATATATCCCAATGACAATTTTTTATTTTGGTAAAATACACGTAACATTAAATTCACCATCTTAACCATTTTTTTATTTTTTTAAAGATTTTATTTATTTATTTGACAGAGAGAGAGACAGCGAGAGAGGGAACACAAGCAGCGGGAGTGGGAGAGGGAGAAGCAGGCTTCCAGCTGAGCAGGGAGCCCGATGCGGGGCTCGATCCCAGGACCCTGGGATCATGACCTGAGCCGAAGGCAGACGCTTAACGACTGAGCCACCCAGGCGCCCCATCTTAACCATTTTTTAAAGATATGTTTATTTTTAGAGATAGAGATAGAGAGAGAGAGAGTGGTGGGGGAGGGGCAGAGGGAGAGGGAGAATCTCAAACAGACCCCCCAGCTGAGCGCCGAGCCCTATACGGGACTCCATCTCACGACCCTGAGATCATGACCAGAGCCAAGACAAGTCGGACGTTTAACTGACTGAGCCACCCAGGCGCCCCCCCATCTTAACTATTTTTAAGTGCACACCTCAATGGCATTAAGCACAATCACATTGTTGTGAAACAACCCTCACCCTCCGTCTCCAGAACTTTCCATCTCCCCACACGGAGACTCGGTCCCCATGAAGCACGGACTCCCCACCCCCTGCCCCAGCCCCGGCTCCCACCCTCTCCTCTCTGTCTCTGTGGACGGGACTCCTCTGGGGACCTCCTGGGAGTGGGGTCCTGAGGGATGTGTCCTTTTATGTCTGGCTTATTACACTGAGCATAACATCCTCAAGGTTCATCCACGTTGTAACATGGGTCAGAATTCCCCACTTTTTAAGGCAGAATAATATTCCAGTGTATGAATGGACCACATTTTGTTTATCCATGCGTCTGTTGGTGGACACTTGGGTTGTTCTACCTTTTGGCCGTTGTGAATAATGCTGCTGTGAATATGTGTAATATCTGTTTGAAATATCTGTTCGAGTCCCTGTTTTCAATTCTTTTGGGTATAGACCCAGAAGTGGAATTGCTGGATCATATGGTAATTCTATGTTTAACTTTTTTGAGGAGCCGCCAAACTGTTTCCCACAGGGGCTGCACCATTTTACATTCTCACAACAAATGTTTTTTAAATGCTAGAAACCATCCTCAGCTCTGCCTGGTGCCTTTCTCCCCAGGGTTCCAAGGGAGCCTGTCAGGCCTGAGGCAGACCCCTCCCCATCAACCGGCCCCGCCTGTGGGAGTGGGGGCTTGGTGAGCTCATCCCAGAAGGAAGGATACGGCTTTAATTAGCTCCTGCCTGGAGCAAAAATGGGCACCACGAAGCTGTTCCCAGGGCTTCTGCGCAGGGGGTCCTGCGGGGGAGGGGGAGGCAGAGGGAGGGAGATGGGGGTGGTGGACACAGGGTCCAACAGCATCAGAGCGGCCAACGATGGTCTCATTTCACACGCAGTGAAAATGAGGTCCACAGAGGTTAGAGGCAAAGCCCAGGGCTGAGGCCCGGTCCCCTGGGTCCGTCGAAGGGGACCTGACACCTGCCTGCATCCCACACCCGGCCTCAGGCAAACATCTTTCAAATACCTTTGATCTCATCAGCCTTTCTCTGGGGGCTTCTCTCTCCTTGCTTCTGTCTCTCTCAGTGTCTCTTGTCTCTGCAGTTCTCACGCTTTGCACCCCGCCCCCGCCCCCCCCCCCTCCCCAGACGACGTCCAGTCAATCACACCCTGGCTCTGGACCACTTCAGGGCTGGCCCGCCCCTTCCTCTCCTGATTGGCTCTGCCCTTGGCCACTGCGCCACGCCCCCTCTAGCTCCTCCCCCGCCCCTTGTCCCTCCCCCCCCTTCTACACTGGGACCATCCTCTCTGATGGGGACAACTGAGACCCAGAGAGAGGTGGCGCCCCGTCCACGGAGGCAGAGGCGCCCCATGCGAGGCCACGAAGCAGGTCCATGCAGAGCCATGGTGCTCCTCGCCCCGTCCCGGGGAGCCTTCTGCGTCTTTGGGGGCTGCTGCTGCACCCCCGCCCCGAGGCAGCAGCTGTCCCACCCCCCCCACCGCACCTCACCTAGCCTTCTCAGTATCGCTTTATCTAGCGTCAGCCACGGATTTACTTAACAGCTGGGGCTCCTTTCTCCCCTTCCCTAGCTCACCTTTTGGGGTGGGGGGCAGCTGAACCACTGCTGTTGGCCCCTGCCCCCCAAAAAAGTTGGCTCCTCTGTTTAACTTATAGTAAAAAAGAAGATAAAATCTACCATCTTAAACAATTTTTCCTCCTTTTCCATTATTTTATTGTGGTAAAATACACATAACATTAAATTTACCGTCTAAACCATCTCTAAGTGCACAGCTCAAAGCATTTTTAAAAAAAGATTTTATTTATTTGAGAGGGAAAGAGAGCACGAGCGGGGGCGGGGGTGGAGAGGCAGAGGGAGAGGGAGAAGCAGACTCCCCACTGAGCAGGGAGCCTGATGCAGTGGGCTCGATCCCAGGACCCTGAGATCATGACCTGAGCCAAAGGAAGACGCTTAGCTGACTGAGCCACCCAGGCGCCCCGCAGCTCGGCAGCATGAAGCACGCTCACACTGTCGTGCAATCACCACCCCCCACCCGCCGTCTCCAGAATTTTCCATCTCTCCATACGGAGACTCTGTCCCCACGAAGCACAGACTCCCCACCCCCTGCCCCAGCCCCAGCTCACAACCTCTCCTCTGTCTCTGTGGATAGGACTCCTCTGGGGACCTCCTGGGACTGGGGTCCTGTGGGATGTGTCCTTCTGGGTCTGGCTCCTCTCACTGAGCACAGTGTCCTCGGGGTCCCTCCACGTTGTGGCAGGTGTCAGGGTCCCTTCCTTTCTGAGGCTGGATCAGGTTCCAGCGCGTGGATGGAACGACAAGTTGTGTTTATCCTTCATCCACTGATGGACATTTGGGTTGCTTCCACCTTCTGGCTGTTGGGATCAATGTGACCGTGAACATGGGTCTCCGCATTCCTTTCTGTTAACACCCCCAATTCTTTCCTTTCCAGGCTGTGCCTTTCTCACCTATTGTGCCAGGGACTCTGCCATCAAAGCTCAGACTGCCCTGCACGAACAGAAGACCTTGCCCGGGGTGAGTCCGAGGTGCTTTCTGGGGAGGGGGGCTGCTCTCAGCCTGGGGAAGCCTAAGGCCCTTCCTAGGATCAGCTGTGAAGCCCACATGCCTCTGGACTCAGAAAGAGGTATAAGGTGCCGACAGACAGAAATGATCACCAAAGAGAGCATTTATTGAGTGCCTACCGCATGTCATGCTCCATACTTCCCATCAGAGTGGTTGTGTGTGGTTGTGTAGGTCGCATACTGCACAAGGGCACCTGGCCCAGCATGTTAGTGTCGTGCTGAGACCTGAAGGATGAGGAAGCATTAGCAGGCAAATGGAATAGCCCGTGCAAAGATCCTGGGGCAGGACTGTGCCTAGCGTGTTGGAGGGACAGCAAGGAGGCTTGTGTGGCTGGAACAGAGTGGGCAAGAGGGAGAGAGGGAGGAGGGGAGGGCAGGGAGGGGACTGGGCAAGTCATACAGGGCTGGCCCAGGCTCTGTCCCTGCTGGCTCTCCCTTGTCAGCCCTGCCTTCTTGGGGTGGGCAGGAGGTCCCTGTCCCCAGTGAAGGGAGGGTGGTCCCCCTGAGCTAACTGAGCCCGGTCCCCAGGCAGTGCCTCTGGGTGGAAATCGAAGGAACCACAGTGAGATCCATGGCACCCCATGACCTCTGGGGGTGTCCACGCTTCCCTCTGCGTTTCTCAGGCACTCTTCAGCCTCAAAGGCATTTGGGGGCGACTTGGGTGGCATCTGTGGCCACAAGTGCTGAGAATATGGGCACAGCATGGCTGGCTGGATAATCGGGGTGCACCTGCTGGGAACATGAGATCATGGCAGGGGTTGACTTGACGCCGAACAGCACCAAAAATGGTCCTGGGGTTGGCCTCAACCTCATAGTGAAGAATAAGGTGTCCCTCCCTGAGGGGGGGTGAAGTAGAGACAAGAGCGCTAGAGAGCTGTGGCGGCACTCCTTGCTTAGCTCCAAGCAGTCTTTGCTGTGTCTGTGAGCCAGTGACTTAACCTCTCTGATCTTCAGCACCAGAAGAGTATAACAGGGGGGAGTGAGGGGAGGAAACCGTAGCGAAGGTGGTCATGGAAGGCTTCACTGAGGAGGTGACATCTGAGAAGAGAATTCATAGTTGTCCCTCCCTCGGATGCTCTGCCGGCACCTCCCCAAACTGAGCCGGAACTGGAGGGCAGGTCCATCCGTACAGGTTAGCACCGGGGGGTGGGGGGAACAGTGGGGTTCTGTGGACCATATTAGTTATCTCCTGCTGCCTAACGATTATTCCACAACCTGGTGGCTTCAAGCCACCAGCATGAGTTATCTCAGGGGCCCTGGGTCAGGAATTAGGGAATGAGTTTGCCGCATGGTCCTGGCTCAGAGTCTCTCCTGACGTCGCAGTCGAGCTGTCAGCTGGCGTTTGAGTGTGGCTGTGGGACTGGCCTCCGTGCTGGCCCCTGGAGCGGCCACGGACGGGAGGTCTCACTTCCTCTCCAGGGGGGAGTGAGACCTTGATAGCACTTGAGCAGCCTCGCGGCACGGCGGCCAGCTCCCCCCAGGATGCAAGGAGGAAGCTCAGTGCCCCTGGGTCTCAGAGCGACACGCTGTCTGCCCAGCTCCGGGCACCAGGAGCCTGGGGGCATTGGGCACCGAGAGGAACAAAGCAGTGTTCTAGTGGATGTGTCCAAGGTCGGGCGGCCAGCAAACAGCAGAACGGGGATTTGACGGCAGACACTTTGCGGGCACCCAGTCCCTCCATGTCCAGTGGACCTCTGTGTGTGTGTGTGTGTGTGTGTGATCAGATTCGGGCTGGAAGCTCTGACCCTTCTGTCCAGAGAAATCCGTACCCTCTTGGAGATCTGCTAACATTTCTAGTGGTGTCCCCAGCTAAGTTCTTCTTAGCTTTCTTCTGCTCCCATTTTCCTGATGGAGTCAAAGCCAGCCTCCCTCTCCACCACCTGAGGCCCAGCTCCCTCTGTGTTGGGGGCCAAAGCTGGGCTCTGGGCTCCATCAGCAGCCGGGATTAGGGGCCCCTCCAGGGCAGACCCTGGGCTGCGTGCTCAGCACACATTGGTTCATTCAGCAGACATGTCAGATGCGTACTGAGCACCCGATCTGTGACCCAAGTGGGACCCAATGGGAGGGCTTCTGGTGGTGAGCGCAACATGGAGCTGAGAAGCGGGGGGTCTTTCAGAGTGATTTTCAGACTCCGAATGCAGGTTCTGTTCAGACAGGGTGCTTGGGGACGCCTCTCTGAGCGGGGAGGGGGCCAGAGGGGCAGCAGGGAGCTGTAGTTGGTCAGGAAGCGACTCGGGCAGGGATGGTGGAGGTAGAAGTCAGGGGTTTGAGATGCTTTAGGAGGAAGGGTTTCCGGGCAGGAGTGAATGGGGGAGCCAGTGAGTGATCTGGGGTCACTGCAACCAAGCACCGTGCACTAGGGGGCTTAAAGCGACAGAGACTTGCCCTCTCTCAGTTCTCGGGGCCAAAGTCTGAAATCAAGGCATCAGCAGGGCTGTGCTCCCTCCAGAGGTTTTGGGGGGAACCTGCTCCATGTCTCTCCAGCTTCAGGTGACGCCCATAATCCTTGATGTTCTCTGGCTCATTGACGCATCAGCCCGATCCCTGACTCTGTCACCACATGGCCGTCCTCCGTGCCTACACATCTCCCCTCTCCCTCTGCCTTTCTCCTATAAGGACACCTGTCATTGGACTTAGGGCTCACCCGAAATCCAGGATGACCCCATCTCGAGATCCATGACTTACTGACATCTGTAAGGACACCTGTTGCAAATAAGGTTCAGGGGCTCACAGGTTTCAGGGGCTTAGGACTTGGACGTGTTTTAGGGGAGTCCCTATTCAACCCACTGTAATGGGGCGAGCACTAAATGAACAGCGGATATAAGGCAGCTGGGGGCGGCATCTCGGGGGTGGGGGGTCAGAGGGGAAGCAGGGGGCTGCCCCACCGCCAATGACTTGGTGGCAGGCAAACAAGGCGCCTTCTTGGAGGAGGGAGCGTTTGAGCTGCGTCTTGAGAGATGGGGAAGACTGTGGCAGATGGAGGTGGGGGTGGCGTGGGGACCGAGTGTGCCGAGACTGGGAGGTAGGAACGTGCCAGGCGCATTTTTGAGTGCAGGAACACACGAGAGCCTCCATTGTCTCATGGAGGAGTTACATCAGGTCAGAAGGGGGTCTCAACCCTGGGGGTGATTCTGCCCCCATGGGTCCCTGGGTGATGTCTGGGGACATTTGCGATTGTCATGACTGGGAGAGACAACTGTCATCCAGTGATCAGGAGAATAAGGAGCTGGTGAATGTTCTAGGACAGTGCTAATAGAAATATAATGCAGTCCACAAATTGCATTCACATTTTTCTGGAGCAACATTTAAAAATTAAAAAGAAACAGGCGAAATTAATTTTCATACTAGATTTCATTTTAACCCAATACCTCTCCAAAATATTATCATTTCAGCAGGCAGTCAGCATAGTTAGTAAGAGCTCACGTTCCCTTTTCCCTCGTAGGCGTCCAACACCCAGTGTGTGTCCTGCTTTTCAGTCCGTCTGAAGTTGGACAATCAGTTGTTATCAGAAATGCTCGATCTGCCTTTGCTGTATGCATTCTATAAAACTGATGGTCGGAAAAGGAGGTTCACATACCCCGCTTGCTCTAAACATACTTAAAAGGTTTTCTAAGAATGGAGTCAGGAATCAGTTTTTAGATTTAAGTTTATATTTACATTAATTATAAATAAACAAAATTTAAAACTCTATTCCTTGGTCACACAAGCCATGTTTCAAGGGCTCAATGGCCACATGTGGCTGGTGGCTACCATATTGGACAGTAGCCTTTGGAAATATTCTAGGTCAAGATTCAGTAAAATTCTTCTGTAAAGGATCAGAGAGTAAATATTTTTGGCCTCATGGGCCATAGGGCCTCTGTCACATCACATAAAAGAAACCACAGACAATACATAAATGGATGGGTGTGGTTGTGTGTCAATAAAACTTTACAAAAACAGACAGAGGCCCAGAATGGAGTTGGCAGATCCCCATTCTAGACCATTGCTGTCCAATAGAATTTTCCACAGTGATGGAAATGTTCTGTCTCTGCTGTCCAATTTGGTGGCCACTGGCTTTGTGTGGCTGTTGAGTCTTTGAAATGTGGCAAGTGTGACTTGGGAACAGTTTCTTTTTTTTTTAACTTTTTTAAATTTATTTATTCATGAGGGGGGGGGCAGAGGGAGAAGCAGGCATGCGGGACTTGATCCCAGGACCCTGGGATCATGACCTGAGCCGAAGGCAGACGCTTAACCAGCTGAGCCACCCAGGCACCCTGGAACAGTTTCTTTAAAAAAAAAAAAAAGATTTTATTTATTTATTTGAGAGAGAGAGAGAGAGAGAGAGAGAGAGAGCATGAGCGGGGGGGAGGGGCAGAGGGAAAAGCAGACTCCCTGCTAAGCAGAGAGCCAGACATGGGGCTCGATCCCAGGACCCCAGGATCATGACCTGAGCTGAGGGCAGACACTTAATCGACTGAGCCACCCAGGCGCCTCTCAGGAACAATTTCTAATGTTACTTGATCTTAATACATTTAAATTTAAACTTAAACCGCCACATGTGGCTAGTGGCCACCACATTGGACAACTCAAATCTAGAATGTTCTAGATCAGGGGTCAGCTACTGTGTTAGCAGATATAGAATGTTCTAGACTGGGAGTCACCTACTATATTGGTGAGTTCAGACCTAGAATGTTCTGGACTAGGAGGCAGCTACCATGTTGGCCAGTGCAGACCTAGAATGTCCTAGACTAGGAGTCAGCCGCTGTTTGGGATAGCACAGATGTAGAATGTCCTAGACCAAGGATCAGCTACCATGTTAGACAGTGCAGACCTAGTTAGACAGTTCTAGACTCAGGAACAGGATGCAGTGTCATCATATGTCTAGATTGTGGGTCTCGGTTTGATACCAGCTCATGGCTGGAGAGGAAGGAGGAGGGGTCTCCAGCAATACCCAGAAACCATCCCGATCATGTC